ATTAATTATATACTATTTAAAAGATCAAATAAATATGCATCTATAGTTAAATTTATTACTTTTTTAAATCAGTCGCTTAAAAGATATACGCTATAAACAAAAAAGTTTTAATTATTGGGACAATTTTTTAAGTCAGTGTACTTTGACTCACTTTGCATGGTTCGTTTTACAAGACATGAATTAGTTATTTACGATATTACAACATTGTTATTATAATTATTATTTCTAAAATTATAGTAATTATTATTAAATAGAAGGAAATAAAATTAAAGGTAGTTTTATTCTTGAATAAGTAATAACTCACCTGAAGGGATTTTTAAGATTTCTTTTACGAAGAATAATATTGAACTCATTAGAATAACGAAATTTCAAAATGATCATTCTTCAGACCAGCTGATAAAAAAACTCGATGGTTAAATCTATTTGCAATTGTTTCTTCCTATTATTCTCCATTTTTCTTATTTGCATCGTCTCTCTCGTCTTTTTCCCTTTCCTCGCTACTGCTAACCTCGCCCAGATCTATACTCGACAGTATGGGCATTCTTTCACCAATGTCCTCATCATCCGCATCATCATTCCCAACATTGGATCGGTCTAAATAAACAAACCTCGAATCCAACTTTAATAAGGGCCTGGCCGGAACCTCTAAAGGTTCGGGCCTACCAAGCAACACATGTTCAAATATGAATCTCACCACATATATGAAGTCGTTAATTGCGTCGAATGGGTTTATAGCATCTAGAAAGGATAGTATGAATGGCGATGACTTAACCGAGGGCTTGACACGGTATTCTTGCGCGGAGAATGCCTTTAGCTGAAGAATGGATATTAAAAAGAATTCCACGGACACAAGGACGGACTGGATTCCGGTCGATATGTTATCAGCAATCCTTAATTTTTAAGTTTAATCAGAGAACGCGAAAAAGAAATGTGTCAAGATAGTTTTTTAATAGTGTCTCTTCGTTTCCTACCAATAATCCGTTGTATATAGAAATTCTTTATAGGGGAATTTATTTAAAGCGTGATATTAGTTAAGTACTATCAGTGAATGATTAATTCAAACATCCTTACTTAACGACACAAATATTCCTAAAGCGTGACCTGTGATCAAACACGAAGGTGAGAACGATATTCGACCCAAATCGTAATCACGAATAAAAAAAATGCACCACATTATAAAATTACCTTGGTATGTAACAAAGAAAAGAGCCTATTAAAAGCGAATCGAGTAAAAAATTTCTTAGAAACTCGTGATCGCTACGGATAACTAATCTGTCAACCTCCACAGCTTACCCAATTAACGCAGATATCTTTTAATAACAATTGTTGATTCGCTAAATCATCTCTAACTGCTTCGAAAAGAATGTTCTACGGAATGAGAATTTACCAAGATTAGTCGGATACGAATTGTTATTTACGTCTATTGTATAATGCTCTCATTACCATACTCAAGTTTGCAACGATCGAAGAAATCGTCTGAACGGTCACCAAATGAATTTGTGGGAAATAAATCGACCAACTCGCTTTACAATAGACACCGGTTGCTTGCAGTATCAAGATAATGAACGTGGTCGCATATAGTATGAACACATACTGTATCACGGTAATTCTCAGACCCGGCAAGAACAATGGATGTTTACTAGGGTTGAAACTCCAACAACATAGGGGAAATGGCATTTGAGTAGATTGAATGTTGGTGAATTTTGTTTTGCGTTCGGCCTCGTTGGGTCCCAAATATTCCAGGAGTAGGTAAAAGAATGAAATGATGGAAGCCGCCTGGTAGGCATCGCGGATGGTAGTGAAGTAGACGGACTGATAGACGAAGAGATAGGCGAGTAAGTCGAATACTGTGTACACTGGTACCATTAGTAGTAAACGGATTATTAATCTTTGTTCTTCCGGCTGGTGACAGGGATGTGATCAAAAGCATGCGATCAACAGGATCTGGTTAATGGTAAATGGAGCGATAAAGAATTCAATACAAGAAGTTTGTATACCTTAGTATAATTCCTCAGATGTTGATATATTAGCATAAATGTCAACACGCATGCCAAAAATGTGAACACCGATGCCACTATCCAACCTATAGCTTGCACTTTAAAATGAAAAATTAAATTAATGGTCCAAATTCCCTTATACAGTTCTTGCGAAATAAGGATAACTTACACGGCAGAAAGAAATTCCCACTCTCGTCATGAAATGATTCGTATCCAAATGGGTTTTTCGCATAAGGATTTTGCGGACATGTTTTATTGAGTAATACGTCCATTCTCAAATTTTTATTTTATTTTATTTTTATTTTTATTTCGAAATGAATCAAAGTCACGTTGAATTAATCTTATGTTTCGAATAACATATATGCGTGTGTAAACACCTCTTGTTTATGAAACATGAATCTGGCAACCTTCGTAATTATTGAATTTGGGCCAGATGTGAGTGTGGACGCAAGGGTTGTTGAAAACTCGTATAGCATTTTCAATGTTTATCATAGATACAGTAAGCTGATACGTAATAACAAGACGGTGAGAGTACGTATATGTCCAATGCAAAGCCACCTTTATCTCAACCATATAAGCCACGTAAACGAACCACCGAATGAAGAAAATTCTTGTATCTGCAAACACGTAAAACTCGGCGGGATCAAGTTTCTGGTAAGTTTAGATAATGTCGCCGTTGCATAAATATTCATTTTATTCTATGTTACTCGTCGGTTCTCAAAGATTTTGTATTAGCAAATCATCACGAATAAACAAACAGATGCAAAGAATTCTAGAATCTGCTCAAAATATACAGTAGTACATATTGTAGTTGAATTGGGCTCAAGTCCTATTATTTATAGTGGTTGCGCAATGAACTGAAAGACTGTTGCGTTGATCGAATACGAAGTACACTGACTCAAAAAATTGTCCCAATAATTAAAACTTTTTTGTTTATAGCGTATATCTTTTGAGCGACTGATTTAA